TATTATTATTATTATTATTATTATTATTATTATTATTATTATCATTCTAATAGGTTATAAAACATAAAATTAAAGTATTTTACATTGAAATATACCATTATCGAGAGAGAGACTTTTACCAAACATTGTATAAGGAAGACGACAATAATAGTATTTGTACGAATATGACTGCTATGGCGAATATAACAGCTAAAAATTAAGCGATGTTACAGCGCTAAAGTAAACTCTGCCATTTGATAAATTTGATCGAACTTTCCATTAGAAAACTTATAAATAGATCAATATATATTTATCTCTATAGATTATAATCTAATTATACACCTAGTAAAATAAATAATATTTGACAAGGTAGTAAGTATAAACAAACCTAGATTGAAATGAAATCATTTGATTATTTTAGTTGTGATAGACGACAGTAGCAGTAGGTGTGTTAATTTATTGAGCAGCTTATGATCATATTATAGGAATTGAATTGAACTATGTTTATCATAATACTAATAGAGTAATAATGAGTATAGTGGATAGGAGAAGAAGCATTTCGGCTGAAGCGTTGCCGGAAGCAGGCAGAAGTTGATGCAGAGGCGTTGGACTCGAGCTCGGGCTTGAGGCTGAGCTCGACATCAAGCGCCCTCTGAAATCACTCCATGCCAATCGATCATCATTCGGTCCTCGAGGCTCTATCACTGAACAGTCAACACCACACGAGCGTTCGAAGCCAAGTTGCTCACATAAACATCGCGTTATAACTGCCTGAAATAGTTTATCGTTTAATGCGAACGCTTTAAATCTATCTGCTTGATTGTATTGCTGCTGCTGTAAATCCCATAAATCTTATTTATTTATATCCAATCCTTGTCATTATTATATCATATCATACATTTATACCTTATCATTATTATTATTATTATATATCCAACAGTATTATGCATCCAGGTAATACATGGATCCAGGTAATCCAGGTATATCATATCATTATACATTTATACCTTATCATTACTATTATATATCCAACAGTATTATATCCAACTCAATTGCTATGCTGTCTTATTACTGTTTATTGTAGAAGAAAGTAATTTTTAAATATTATCATGTGAACACGCAGTAATCTTGTCGAATGCACAATCGCATGATGCGATAAAAGTATCGCATCTAAATACTATTACCGTTCTCATAGCATTATCACTATTTTATCAGTGATTAATTGATATTACTCTATAGTTATTGTTACTGTTATCATTACTGTAGTATAATTAGCAGGTGACTTACCTGAACTGATGATGAGTCTTACCTGAAAACAGTAGCGATGATGAATGCGATAAATATCGCTGAGCGTTGCACGTACAATTAGGCACTCATCGTTGCGTTTCGTCTCGGGATATTCGAGTAACTTTTTTGACGTGTCCAATTTCAATCTTAAATTCATATTTAACCACTTGCTCAAATCAGTCAAATCTACTAAAAATAATTACATACAAACAAGCCAAATCTCAAAGCTTATGGCTTAGTGTCGTAATATCAATGATAGATACCGTAAGCCGTAAATATTTTCCTTGCCGTTTCCGGATGGATGGCAAATTTAAGTAAGTGTTGCTTGAAAACAACTGGTGTACCACCAATACAATAAGTTAATTTCAGTTAGCACTAGCTAGAATACGAACTATAATAAGTAAGTAAGCAAGTAATAAGTAAGTAAGTAATAATAAGTATGTAAGTAAGTAATGACCTGACCTGAGGATTTGATGTCGGTCAAAATCACTGTTACGTGCCAACGCTTTGGATCGTATCTCGTTTTGACACGTCTCGATCATACCCTCGTAGTTGCCACCAGCAGCGTGCGTTGAACAATTCTGATTGGCACCAATAGAACATTGCGTTTGCAGGTAACCGAATAGTGAGATGAATTGTAATTCGTTTGGTGGTGTGGAGGATCGCATATAATGTGACGAGGATGACGAGGACGGTGCTACATAGATGGATGAGGAGGAGGCAGCTGAATACTTGGACTGCGATCCTTCTGATGACGACGAGGTATGCCTTCGAATCTAGGTTGTTTTTTGTTGTGTATGTGATGTGATATTTATTATTATTATTATTAAACATTAAGTAATTAATATCATTTGATCAGTTGATTGATTGATTGATTGATTGATCAGTAGTATTCATCTTGATCAATCAATAATCGATCGAATACGATGAATGAATGTTATCAATCAGTTCATGCTCACTATGAATCTACCTATTATGATATTGTTCAAGCATGATTATGCTCACTGCTCTCAACTAACTAACTAACTCTCACTAACGAGTAAGTGCTGTTGCGAGGAGGAAAAAAATTTGAAGAGAAAATAAAGCGATTTAAAGTGCGTTCGAATGGTCGTCACTTACGGCAGCGTCACGATACAGTTTCGGGTTCTGCCGTTCGCACACAATCTGTCGGCGTTTATAGGCCAATTTTGCACATCGCCCCACTTGACTGGCCGCACATATGCCAACGTCGCGTGCGAAACAATCGTCCAAAAACTTCAATTCGAATTTGATATGATATTATCATATGATATGATATGATATGATAATATAATCATCATATGATAATATGATATGATAATATAATCATCATATGATAATATGATAATCATATAATTCATATGATAACTCAAATTATTGCTTGTTTATAGCAGCAATAAGATTCATTTTATAATGATAGTGTTTTAACCTTATAATGATGACAACGAAATGTCAGTTCACTATCACTACAAATATTTGCCATTTGATCGAATAATCTATAGAAGCACTGCTCTGCTTCGGATTCCACACACTGCTCCGAACTGCAATTTACCATACTCATTATAATGATAGTAATCGTACTAGTAATAATAGTAATAGTAATAATAATAATAATAATAATAATAATAATAATAATGATTTACCTAGAAACTTGTGATCGAAGTATAAAAGCGTTAACTTTAGTAATGTTATAATAGTGATCAGTATTGATGAGTGTAACGAATAGAATAAAACAGATGAATGTCTTTGTAACGAGCAGAGTAAAGTATTCAGAGGGATAAGTGAGTAGTGCTACGACGTGTTTAGTCGTTGATTCATGAACAAATTGCATATGGTTGAATAAATGGATGGTGCAGGTGGTGGATGATGCTAGAGCGATTGTTTGGTTCTGAATTGCTGGCGATTAGGCTTAGGCTGGTGATAGATTATGATTAGGGTGATAATGGCGGTGGGATTTATCGAGTTTTGAAATTGGCTTAGTGATACTGCCTAATGAAGTGTTTTCCTAGTACTGTTGTGGCTTTATTGTGGTGTTATTCTGATTGGTTTAGTGATAGGTTTGATTGGAGATAATGTTTTAGAGTTTTATTAATAGTTAATAGTTGCAGTATTATTGTTGATGGATCGTTTGGATAGTGGTTATATAAATAATATGGTGAGAATTTAAAATATATGAATGGGTAATTAATTGTATACAAATAGGTAATAATTAATTAAGACTAAGAACAGTGACTAATGAATATTTAATGAATGTAAAAATTAGATTAGAGGCAATTTGCAGCAGCAGCAGCAAATAATATTGCTTGTCAAATGAACAGACAACGATGACTGGGCAACGATAACAGTGTATTTGGTGGTGACATTTGCTAGATCTGAAATTGAGATTGTATTCATTGAAATATATTAGATTTGGTCAGCAATCGCGACGCAGCGCGACCTGTTTTGATTGGTACCACATTTTGGTAATATTTTTGTTGCGTTTTTAACTCTACATTTATTTGCTAATTCGTATAAAGTTAATTCATTTCGCAAAATTCAACTATTGCATCTTTTTTCGTGCAGCTCAGCGTCTAAAATGAAAAAGTATTATGGAATAATACTACTATGTTATATTGTGATTATAAAGTAAGTTATGTATACTTAATATAGAATAATAATAATAATATGCATAGCAAATAAAGTAAAATTTCGGCAGAGTTTATGAATTAGGCTCAGATCTAAGTGCTGGCCTGCGGTTGGTTGTTGTTTGGTAGGGCAGGCCGGATGGATGGATGGCCCGATAAGACGACGGGCGTTTGGCGATGGCTGGTTGAATTGAACAGTGAGTTGTTAGGGTGAACGAAAGAAAGGAAAGCAAGGTGACAACAACAGTTGATGTGATGAATTAAACTAACGAATAGCGACGAATAAACGTTGAATCGGATCGGAATGAAGAGCATAAGATGGATTGGAGAATGGATGGATGGATTGGAGTGTGGATATGTGGATTAGGATTAGGATTAGGCTTGGTGATGTGATGTACTGATGCTGCTGCTGCTATCAAATAAGCATCAACCGCTTAAAGAAGCTTTAAGTCTTGGACGATAAAGATCCATGCTTGATGCATGCATATCCAACGGCATCAATCCCACGAGATCATGCAAACTAGGTTACATCCTCTCGATATCGCTCTCGAAATCAAATGATCACCTCGTACTCACATCCATAAACAAAATATATGAGATGACAATGATTTATTTATTTCCACGACGCATCCAAATCACTCTATCTATCATCTACCTATTCAATTACATCTACCTACCTACCTACCTGTGTATGTTGATGTTAAATTACCTATAAATAAGTAAGTAAGTTATATTGACAATATGCTACCTACCATACGTATATGACTAGTTATGTGAAGAACGAAAAAAAAGCGAATAAATCGGAATAAAAGAGTGCAGTGGTGCTTCATTTTAGATTCTGATTTGGTGTTGCTGTTGTCTGTCCGTTGATACACACATGTATTGATGTATCCGTTTGAATAATGGTTGAATTGGCCTGGCCAATGCACTCGTGCTCACTTCAGGCCTGTTTGTCATCGTTATCGTTGAGATGATCGTCGCTTGTATTCAGCTGAGAGATTAATCGTGCTTCTTGTTGCTTGTGATCGTCTTTAGATAGATAAATCATTTTCACGAGTCAGCCATTCTGATTAATTGCTCTAGGTTGGTTACTTTATTTAATGCATATCGCCATTGCATGCTGTATTCTCCAGTTTATTTTCAAGTCTTTTATAAAAGCTGGTAATTACCAACAGGTGGGCATGACAGACCAGAGCAATTTGGGTGCTGCTAGTGAAATTACTGTATACGCGAGATTCTTGGCATATACAATTAGAATGTATATGGGGGGGGGGATATGCGTAAATTACAATTATACTGACAATTGGATGCATCCATTAAGCTTTCAGTTGGGCATTGATTCAGTGTCATTGAAATGGTAATAATCTCGAAAACGAGATAATCAAACGAACGATCCACAACAATTTATGGGGGTGATGAGTGAGTAAGAGGCAGCACAAACTCATAAAACTGGTTAATGTTTCTGATAAATTGACTGCCAGACGTCTAATCTCAACTGTTTCTTTTTTATTTTCGCTCAAATGATACATTAGTTATAAGTCAACAGATATATAGAGTTGTTTTGTGAAGAATTTAAATATGTATCATCATCAGTATGAGGTTAAGTGCCGCCGCGTATCGCCATTATCAGCTCAAACCTTTTATTTGTACAATCGCGTATCGATCGCATCGTACAGTTTTTTTGCTATTCGAGCGTTGGTTGGTGTTGATTTGCATTGATCAGTTTGATTTGTATCAATATGTTTATACTTTGTACGCAATTGATTTGATCGATCTCGTTCTATTGATACATCCGAAACATATAGCGATCAAATGCGATACTTCGTATAAATGTACAATCCAAAAAAATGATCAGTTTTGCCGCGCGATCGTATTGTTGATCAAATGTTTTTTGAGGATTGGGTATAGAAGAGTATCGATATGTCGAGAGTGATTCATTTATAAGTTAGTGGTTGTCGTGTGCGGTTGGTTGATGGGTTGGGCTGGTTGATGGGTGATCGGGTGCTATGTGTCGCTAGTATCATCTTATTTGGTGGTTGGGTGATGTGGATAGTGGATT